AGGCTGGCTGTAAAAGAATACGTAAGTAACGACGAGAGTAGGAGCCCAGAATACTCACTACTGTATTATTTAGCACAACAGGAAATATTAAGGTTCATTTAACAAGCAAGGATTAGGCCACAACTGACTCAGGACGGAGCACTATGATGCAAGTCAGAGGAGACCTATCAAGAGATCAATGCTAGACTGCATTGGCAAAATGGCCATTTCCTCCTATCAAATGAACTTCCACTCTCTTTCCTCATTCCATTCCTTCCCCAAGCAGTAATATTTGTCAGCTGATTGCTTTCTTCCCCTCAGGCTACTCAATTGCTGCTGGGCTTTGCTCTCCAACAGGGTTTCTCAAGCAGTGGGCCAAGCACCACCCAGGTGTCCTGGCCAGGAGAAATCTAGCAACAGGCACTTTCAGGTGGCACTCAGTGCCGCAGACTGCCCACTGCCTCCCCACTGGTCTGCCTTGCCCCCTTAGCCATGCCAGTGCCGTTTGGTTGGACCAGCGCTGACAGCAGTAACTCCTTACATGCTGAGGAGACAGAGGAGTTCAGGGGAGAGGGAAGGTCTTTCTCCTCTCAGGGGAAAGTGCCAAATGAGTTGCTGAGGGAAATTAGAAAGTGAGGCAAAAATAATATTTATGAACAAATAAATAAATGCAGTGGAAATAGAATGGAAAGGGTAAGAAAGCTGTTATATACGCAAGAAGTGAATGTGAACGCAACAAGTAGAAGGGATAAAAGAAAACAGCAGTTTGTGGGGGCTAATATGGCACAAGCAGAATGTGAAAGGAGAAAAGAAGAAATTACAAAGAGATGGGTAAAGAAAAGAAAAATACTTGGATAGGCATGTGAAGGTGGGAAGGGAAACTGTACAAGAAAAAAATCTTCTCCCTTTAGAGCTTCCAAATCAGCAAATTCTGCCTAAAATGGAGAGGCTGAATCAGAGCAAATGTTTGGATTTAGCTTCAGGAAGCAGAGCTGTGGAACTCCTTGCCACCATGAAAATGCTATGGCAAAGAATTTGCCAATTTCCAAAGATGGATTAGATATCAATAGTAAATGATGTCAGCAATTGCTTATCCCTGGCTCTGCCACCATTTTGTGACTGGCTGTGCCCCTGCACCATCATTTTCTGACTGTTGAGCCTCAGTAAATTTTCAGCCATTTCAAGTGAGCCCTTAGGGTAGAAAGCCTTGAGAACCTCCACTCCTGAGTGGCAGCATTATTCCTTATATAGATTGCTTGTTGGATCAGCTGGAACTATTTGTGTAGAAAATATATCACAAAAAATAACCCATCAGAGGATTTACAGAAGTGTTGGAGAACTCTCTTCTCATTGTGTATCCAACAAAGTCTGAGCCTAAGCATCTTCCAGACATTTTACAAGATCTAATTTTTGATACTGGTTAAGTCATCATCCATTAGTTATTTTTAGCAGATTTAAAAAAAATATATGCTGCAGCAATTGCATGGAGTTTGGGTTTTGATGTTTTGGTTCCTTTGTAGAAGAACTGGATTTAAAATCTATTTCAAAGTGGCTATGGCACACTAGGATATAGCAAGACTTTAAGACTCCAGCTGTACTTTTTTTTAACCGAGGGTGAGTGATCAGTCTTGTGATTGTAGGGATTTTTCCTGTGCAAATGCTCACTGTTAATCAATGAGAAGAAAGAAAATGCAGCTTTTCAGAAAAAAAAATGGTATTTTTTTTACACATTTCAGTAAATGAAGGATACTGGGGGGCTTATCTATGCTTCCTCTTGTCCCACTGCTTTCTGCAACCCTGGGGAAAACCTGCTCTTTAGCACTGAATTGGAACAAACAGCACATTGGATTGACATTTGCTCCATTTTGGACTAAAGAGTGGGTTTTCCTTGGGAAAAGAGCAGGACAAGGGGGAAGTTGCTCAGACTGCCCTAGGCATGAGACAAGCAGAAGTTTGGATGAGCCCTGACAGTGAACACTCTCACTCTCTTTTCTCTCTCTCTCTCTCTCTCTCTCTCTCTCTCTCTCTCTATATATATATATATATATATATATATATATCTTTTTTCAGTTCTTGGTATGCTGGGGAGGTGGGGAAGGGGGAGCCTTGAAAGTATACTAAGTAGTTGCTTAACTGTGCATTCCTTCAGCTACAAAGAACAAAGTCAAGACTATTAAATTCATTTCATTTAGTGGAAACAGGATTCCAGACCTTGGAAAGTCAGTACTTTACTCAGAAAACCACTTAAGCCTTTTTTTCTTTTCCCAAAGAGCTA